CTGGCCTGCACGCGGCTTCGATAGCGCGCTCTTGAACCGTCGAGCAGCGAAGTACGCGCGCCAGGCTGGGCGTCAAGCCAAGGCCTTCCGTTCATTCGGAAGGCTGACGAGAATTGCACCCGGTCCAGGCAGGGAGAAGGCATTTGGCCGAAACGTGCTGCTTTTGCTTGCGGCCCAGCGTATGCCTCCGAAGATAAGCCCGATTGTTCGCTGAGCTGAGTCTGTTCGCTTCCGCTTCTGAGCCGTGTATGTTGCCTCTTCACCACCGCCACCACTACCACCCTGCTCGCGCTGTCACGATGATGGTCTCGACGACGTACTCATCTACGCGAGCGGCGACAGCTCCAACGCAGCTGATCCTTCGCGGCACACGCGAAGGCGACCTCGCCGCCACACTCTCTGCCCAGAGAACACCCTCTTCTTCTCGCTGCGCCAAAGCTGGGCGGCTGCCGCTATTCACATGGTCCGATCTGGTCGCCATCGTCAGCACTGGCAACCTGCAGCGTCTCGCGCGCCACCCCGAAGACCTGCGCGAGTACTTCGCCTGGATGGACTCGGTCAAGCTCTCCTACGGCTCCGTACAGTCGTTCATTCTTGCCGAACGCCTCACAGCATCCTACCTCCTCGATCCTCCGCCTGCGGAGAGCGACACGGCGGCGTGTTTCAAGGGCTCATTCGAGCCAAGTCGCGAGTGCCAGATCCTGGTCAATGACTGGCCCTACTCGGTGCCCACAGACGTGATCCACAATGTCGTCTGGTCGTATCGCCCGATTCTGCACCGCAGTCTGGTAGCGGGGACGGAAAAGGCGGTGGAAGAAGCAGCTTGGGCCGTGGTTGCAAAGCGCGGTCTGTGCGGATCGCTGTCGAAGCACGGCCTGGTCGTACCTTCGTTACAAGACCATGCGCAGCATGTACCGGACTTGCACGGCCTTGTAGGCACGTGTGGCGAGCAAGAAGCGGAGGCAAAGGTGCACGGTGCTTTGAGGAACGCTTGCAGAGAGATCGTCGCATTCGTAGAAAAGCACTGGGACTTGGATATGTGCGAGGTGGTCTTCTTCGCCAACCCGCCAAGTTTACAGTCGGTTCCCTCGCTTGCACATTTTCACGTCCTTGTTCGTCCCCTATAGCTTGCCCATAGACAGTATCGCATCGTTGCTCTTCCTGTATCATACTGCCCAATAGCACTCGTACCTCCTCGACTTGATGTGCACCGATCGGGGGCTGTCCGATGACGATGTCCTCGTGTAGGCCGGTATTGACTTGGGGGTGAGCGCGGCGCGATGCTTCATCTCAAGCGTGCATGTGGGGTGTGGGTGGTGTGTATCGATGCTTCGCAACGTGGGTGGGGGCACAGTATTCTTCATTTGGTCAGCACGATGTGGGCGATGAAGAAAAGACTCGAAAGCCCAAGGATGCGTTCTTGATCCTTCATCATCGCAACTACTCATTGAACGCAAACAACGACGACAAGCAAGGGCCCAAACGATGGAGACCATGATGCTGGTCGTTCGACTGCTCGTGGCCATTTCAGCACTCTTCACGTGTGCGGCTGCATCTGGTTCCTCAGCGCCAGGTTTCGCAGCGTCCCAGCTTCGGCCCGGCACGAGCTTGGACTTCGACGAGGTCTCACACGGCATCTACACACCCAGCCGTGCTAGCGCCATATCTCACGACGCTGTGCCAGCCGAGTTTGGCGACAAGTACTTCATGTCTGGCGCACCGATCTTTGTCTTTCCCCACCGGGGCTCTCGGATTGCCAAGTCGTCGCTGGACGAGGCACTGGCGACGTTTGGCAGGTTCCACATCTACAGCCCTGCCACACGCCAGGGCACTTCGATCAAGCTGGATCCTAGACAAGCGGGGCTGGTGATGCGGACGGGCGAGTTCGGTGATGTGCGGGAGTACATGCAGCGAGTGGACGCGACACGCGTCTGGTTTGGACCACACGCCACCATGCTAGCCCACGGTGCTCCAATCAGTAAGATCACCAGGAAGTATCCATGGTCCAGAGCGGGGATCAGGACGCCAGAGTGGGATGAAATATGGAAGGCGAAGGCGAGACCACATGATGCAAGATTGAGTAAGCCAGAAGTGCTCAGAGCGTACCTGAGGGACACGTTGGAAACGAATAGGCATGTGCGGTTCGAGACCAGGCACGGGAGTATGGGTCTGCGCGCCCTACCCAGCGGCCAAATCGAAAAGGCGTTCCGGGATCTCGTAGGCGAAACGACCTACTTCCATCCGTAGCTCAAAGTCAAGCATTCTTTCGATCTCGCTTTGCAAACGCACACAAGCTGTTTCCGAACAGTGTCCATTGTGATTTGACATTGCCTGCGCGGGATTAGTCAGTCTCGCACTGGATATCGAGGAACCTTTGAGCGAGATAAGCCGCCGCCTCGTGTGCCGGGCTCTTGACGACGTGAATGTTCTTAAACGGCAGCCTCCCCTGTGCCTTCCACATCTGCACGAGCAGATCCAAAAACGACCGGTTGGACCACAACCCGCCACCCAGCACGAGCGTCGATTTGTCCGGCACGATCCGGTCGGCTGGGCAGCAGAGCTTTGCGATCGAGTCGATGCACTCGCCGACGGCCTGGTTGAGCAGCTGCGTCGCCAGCTCGCTCCCCGATCGGCCCTGATCGTCAAAGGCGTACTCGAACACGACACGTGTGGTTTCGGCGAGCCAGCGCTTGCGCGCGTCTTCGGCATGGAAGAAGTTGCCGCCCGAAGCGCAGACGCGGTCCTGGTATGCTGCCGAAATCAGCTCGATGGGCGTCGACACGTCGAGTGCACGCAGCACCGCCGCCTCGAAATGCGTGAGCGGCAGCGCGGAGAATTGGCGTTGCTCTTCGCGCGTGAGCATGAGCTGAATCGTCGACAACCCTATCGACCACCCACTGCCGCGGTCGCCGAGCAGGTATCCCCACCCACCCGTCTTGCTCACTGTCGCCAGACCGGGCAGATCCTCGTTCTCGCTCGAGCTGGGCGCGCGTGTCGAATCGAGTGCTGACGCGGGTTTGGACGGCGACGAGGTACGCTGGAAGGCAAAACCGGCACTGCCCGTACCTGCGATGAGGCACACGCACGACTGTGTGGATGCGTCGCGCAGCATGGGCGCCGAAAGCAACACGGCATCGTTGGTGATCCAGATGGGCGTCGAGTCGTCCGCAAGGTGGTACTCCTGCAAGAGCTGTGAGAGCTGCTGGCGATAGCTGCCGATCACCGCCGAGGACGAAAGCCCTGCCGAGCCGATCCAGATGGCGCGCACGCGCGGACGTCGCACGTTGGACGACGGCTGGCGCGTCGAGTGCAGCTCGCCATCGCCGTCGGCGGAAGATGCGTCGTTGTCCGAGAGCGAGAGCGGCGGCGTGGTGATGCCTTCCGCCTCGCCGGCCTCGATGAGGTCGAAGAAGGTGCCGAAGCCGGCGGATATCAATGCATCGCGAACGGCGCGCAGGATGACTTGGCTGGCGGCCTCGAGCCCGAGCGTGGCACAGTTGCCGCAGCCGGCCTGGCCGACAAAGGTCTGCTTGGAGTCTACCGAGGCGGCGACAGCGAGCGTCTTGGTGCCGCCGGCATCGACGCAGAGGACGACGTCGCCAGAGCGCGGAGGCAGCACGGATGATGATGGCCCTGCTTCCATGTTGGCGGATATGGAGTCGCGGCAAGATGAGTCGATGACAGACGTACTGTTGAGCTGCGTGGAAGTGTCGTTATTGGATTGTCAAGATGGAAACGGCGGGCGATGAGAAGAGTTGAAGCTGCGAGATGGCCGGTTGATATGTTGGACGGCCAAAGCGTGATGCGAAGGCAACACGGCCGGTGCAGAAGAGTGACGAGACGGAAGGGAGGGGAGGGAGCGCTACCTGCGGAGGCCACGCACGAAAAGGCCGCGCCAAGAGTCGGCGGCAGGAGGAAAGATCGACGGAGATGGCACGGGGCGGATGCGAAGAGGGGCGAGCGGTCCGGAGAGAGATGGCCGATGGGTTCGATGGAGAAGGGGCCGAGGGGGCCGAGATGAGATGGGCGAGGGTTGTACGCGTGCGTTATCGAACCCGCTGTGCACAGGGAAGGAGCGAGTGCCGATGGTGAAGGCGAAAGGAGAGATGGCGAAAAGATGGCCGGGCGAGGATGGGGTTGGCAAAAGGTTGGTGCGAGGAGGTGACACATCCACACATCCACACCCCCACGCGCCGTGCTGTGCTGCATTGCAGTGCACTGAGCTGTGCTGTGCTGTTCTATTTTGCCGTGGCTGGATTTGCTGCGGGCGTGCATCTCGCTGTTGGCCGCCGAGCCTGCATTTTCGCGCTGGCGGGCGGCTGCTCCCGGCGTCCATCGGCGGGCCGGGCGACCGACGCGAGAGAGCCCCCTCTCCCCCACTCACTCCCTCCGCCGACGTAAATTCACTGCCTCTCCTCCTCCCGTCTGCCGGCCAGCTATCCTGGAAAATAATGCCAATTTCCTCTCATTTTCGCAGAGATGCAACCGGACAGAGTGTTGACCGCCGTCGCCATGTCCGTTCGTCTGCCGGGATGGTGGCGCAGAATGCTAGCGCTACCGAAGAGTACCATGGGCTAGCGGCGCAGTGAGGAGCCAATGGCAAATCGTCTGCCACATCCCCCACGGTCACACCTCGGTCGGCGAATTCCAGCCTCGTGGATCCGCCGAGGGGCCCACGCTGCCCTGACTGAACCTTGTTGGAGTGTCATGCATGCTCGCCCGCTGCAGCGCCGCCGCCCAAATTTTGGATTTCGCTGTTTTCGGCGGATGCAAGAGCCACACAGCTCACGCGCAGCGCCGAAAAAGAGTTGGCCGTTCGCGCCGAGCAGCCTTGGCCGCCCGGCCGCCACTCCAAACCGGTCAACCCTCGCTCGTCGGTCCGAGCACGCCGAGGCGCCGAGCTCTCTTTGCCAAATCCCACTGCGCCAGCGCCTGTCAGACTCTGCCGCGCCAAAGAACCCCCGCATCCACGTCCTCCCGGCCCTCCTTTGCGCTCCAACCATCCGGTCCCGGCCTCGTGCTCGGCCCTCCGGCTCATTCTTGAAGCTTGTCTCCCTGCACTTTCGCCTGCCGCCACAGCCGGCCACAAACGTAATCGCATTTCCGTTGAGCTCGGTATCTGATTTGACTTGGCCTGGTTCGAGAGCCGACGGGCCGTGCAGAGAGGGTCTTCGTATATAGTGTTTGAGTCCGTTTGAGCCTGCCTTGCGCTTCGTTCCTCTGCTCTGTCACCTTCTGCTCTGCCTTCACCTCATCAGCTCTGCTTCACCAGACCAAAATGCGCTACATCATCCGAGACGACAAGGCCGCCGTCGGCAAATACGTAAGTGCCGAGCTTCCCTCCTTCCGGACTCAAAAGCCATACCAAGAGGCAAGATCGCTGACAGCAGAAGGATTGGATCGCCGCAACAGGTGGCCGAATACGTCGCCAAGCGCATCAATGCGCACTTTGAGGTGACCGACCGACCGTTCGTGCTGGGCTGTCCCACCGGCTCCTCGCCGCTCGAGACGTACAAGACGCTCATCCAGATCCACCGCGAGGGGCGCATCTCTTTCAAGAACGTCATCACCTTCAACATGGACGAGTACGTCTCGCTGCCCAAGTCGCACCCCGAGTCGTACCATTCCTTCATGTGGAACAACTTCTTCAGCCACATCGACATCCAGCCCCAGAACGTGCACATCCTCGACGGCAATGCGCCAGACCTCGTGGCCGAGTGCAACGACTACGAGGCCAAGATCCAGGCCGTAGGCGGTATCGACCTCTTCATGGCTGGTGTCGGCTCCGACGGCCACATTGCGTTCAACGAGCCCGGTTCGTCGCTCGCATCGCGCACGCGCATCAAGACCCTTGCCTACGACACTGTGCTCGACAACTCGCGCTTCTTCGACAACGACCCGCTCAAGGTACCCCGCATGGCGCTCACCGTCGGTGTCCAGACGGTCATGGATGCACGCGAGATCTTGGTCATCATTGTCGGACAGCACAAGGCTCATGCGCTCGCAAAGTGCGTCGAAGAGGGCGTCAACCACATGAACACCGTCTCGTGCATCCAGCTCCATCCCAACGCCCTCCTCGTCTCGGACGAGGACGCCACTTCCGAGCTTCGCGTACGCACCGTCAGGTACTTCAAGGGCATCGAGCGTGCCCAGGAGGAAATCGAAAAACTCTATGGTCTTCACGGCCACAAAAAGTCCCCTTCGTCTGGTGGCAGCCCCGTGGTAAACGGTTCCATCAATTAGGTCCTTTCTTCCCCCTTTCAGTACTTTCAGAATCATCCTTGTATATCATACCCCCAATCGAACCCCTTCCTTTTGTTCATTCTTATCTTTCGAACACTGTGCACTCGCACTTCGAAACGGCTTGCCTGGCAAACGGCAAACAGGTGTGGTTGCAAACATACAAATACAAGATGAAGAAGCTAGGCTGTGGCCCGCACGCCAGCTAGAAGCTCGGCAATAGCCAGCGCCGGCTCGAGAGCAGGATGGTGGACCGCTTCGTGCGCGTGTTGTTCCTCTTGCCCTTCGATGGGAACTGACGAGGTGCACTGTGTCAGCTCGCCGACGTACTGCTGGACAAAGCCGTCGACTGTGCGCAAGACATCTTCCAGCTGACCCTCAGCGAGCAGACCCAGTCGGTAAAATTGACGATCCGGCTCGCATAACTGCAGCAAAAACACCAGGCATCCCGTTATCCAGTGATGGTAAATCAGAGGCAAAACCGCCAAGCTGCCCACTAGTCCTGCTCTGGGTGCAACGAGGAGCCTAAGGACGTCCATGCACGCGCTCTGGCACTGCTGTGCACACGATATGTGCAAGGCTGTAGCCGTACTTGCCTGTTCTGGCGTCGCAGCTCCAGTGCAGCGCGTCTCAAACGCTCTACATGCCATGATTAGCGTCCGTGCCTTGGCGAGCGCATGGTGAAGGTCAATCGTATGGTCGCACTCGTCTTTTCGATCCGGGTCGGTGGCGAGCTTGGCTCTCGCTTCGTACCAGCAGCCCGTAATCTCTCGACTGAGCTTGAGCAGCTCTTCTGCATCCCCCACACCCCTTGACTTGGTGATGAGGAATGCGACGCGGCAGTAGAAGACAAGTGCCGCATCTTGTTTGGTCATACCCAAGCCCCCAGGCGAAGTTGATCGAGTTGAACTTGCGTGCAAGTCCGATGTGAGCGCCTGACCGTACTGCGAAGGGTCGACGAGCTGCATGATGGGCTGCCTGTCGTGAATCTCGCACTGGTGCAGCTCGGCGAGGAATGCGGCGAGCCACACCCTCACACGATCCTGCATATTGACGGGTCGCACTGGCGGAAGGATGGCGACCATCTCGCCTACTGTCAGCCCGGCGTGCGGACCCGACTCGTAGCTGTACTTTTCACTCCACCACCGCGCGGCTCTAGCCACCCTCCACGCATCGGGCGAGGCATCGTAGGCACTCCAGATACACGCACCCACCACCTCCTCCGTACCGATCCCGCTTTCGGGGTTGAATTCGTCCTCGGCCGTGGTGGGTGCGTAGGGGAGCGTGCGATCAAGGACATCCGCGCGCAGTCGAAGCTGACGCTCGCGTAGGTCGGCGTGCGAGTGCCGCGAGGCAACCGTTGCGATCGCGGAGAGCAGGACTGGTGTCAGCTCGCTCGAGGCAGGAAAGTCGGGAAAGCCAAATGCGAACGGCTCGATTCGCTTGGCGTACAGCGAAAAGAGCGAGCGTGCTTCGTGCGAAGAGAGGATGCCGAGACGAACTGCATCCAAGCGCGGATCATTGCTCCCGAGACTAGCGTCTGGGAAGCGATATCGACTGGAACGCGAGAGCAACGCCGTCTTTGGTGCGGCAGTAGTCGAAACCGGACTGCTGAGAGCAAAGCGAGGAAGCGCCAGGCTGCCCTGTGCCCGCGGAGAGCATTGTGCTGCGTCCCGACTTGCTATTGCGTCCGTTCCAGAGAGGACGACTTCCGGTCGATGCGCCAAAGGATTAAGCCCAAACACAGCGGACGGTCGCCGGGAAGCTGAAATAGCCCTGTGGTCCATGAGCGTTGCGCTTGTTGACGCATTCGCTATGTGTGGCTGCACGCGGTAGCCCAGCATGGACTCGTTGAGCGTCATCCCATATGTCGACTCCGCCGCCCTTGCATGCTGTGGTCCGGCTGCCGGACTGGCATGCGCCGACTCGTTGCGCCATCCCTCGTCTGCTGCTTTGCGCTTGCGCCAGCTCGACGACGACTCCTGCTGCACCAGCGCATTGATGGCCGAAACGAGCTTGGTGAGCGTCTCGTCGGTCCTGACGCGCCACTCGTCGTGCAGAAATGCGCTTCCCATTTCTCGCGGCTTGAAGGCACATTCGTAGCCGCCGTTCTTGCAGCGCTTGCAGGGCGCAGTACCGTCGTGTTCGCACCGCACCTTGGACCTGCGGCAGCTGGAACAGGCACCCACCACCTTGTTTCGACCCGCATCGGATGCGTCGGGCGAATACGAGCGCGGTGCGTCAGCCACATCGCCCGACGTGGACGCAGACGATGAGGAAGATATAGATCCTCTAGCTAGGCTGGCCATGTCAGCGGTCATCTTTGGGCTGACGCGATGGTCGGAGGAACGAGGATGTCGATTCAATCAGAACACATCGAACGGGTTTATAAAGTCGGGCAACCTCTCTGCGCAGAGAGAGTAAGGCGATTGCCTACCGTCACGGTTCATACAGGTCAGGGCGGGGTGCGAGAGTCACGTCCGAACTTCGGCTTCAAAGTTCCCCACGCCAAACTTTCACAGGTTGCAGCCACTGTCAAGCTTTGCGAAATGAAGCATGCGGGGTGCCGGTTTAGCCATTGGCTCATGCTCACAGCTAGGACGGGCCGAGTCGGCAGCCGAAAGCTTCGGATGTGCTCTGAGCGTTTCTCAGGACGTCAGGCAGCGGCAAAATGCCCGCCGTGAGTGCCGTGCAGGTTGCTGTGCTCAACCGCCAAGCTTTGTGCCCTTCGAGCAAAAGGCTCTGTGTTGCAGCCATGCGGGGCGGCGACTCAAGCTCCGGACCTGGACAGTCTCCCACGGTCCTCTCGGCGCTTTCGCCGAATGCGAGGCCAGGGCGGAAAATATTTTGGATGTTAGAGCCTTCGAAGGCAGCTGCTGCTATGTTAGGGTGAGCAGACTGACATTGTCCGACTCTGCGCCTCACGTGTCCGCGGCCATCTCCGAGAATCAGCTCGAAGTCTTCGCAGTCCGAGCTTCCGATCTTGGCACGAGCGCACCTTTTGAGCAGCAAGAGTGGAGCTGGCGCCAGACATACAAGTACCTCGACTCTGCTCAGCCTCTGCATCATCTTCTTCCCCACACACACTCGGATCTCGAGATCTTGCCAACTTAAGCACTCGCAAAATGTCGTCCGATCTTCTCGCACAGGCCAAGCGCTGGCTCGACAAGGACCCGGACGCGTCCACAAAGCGCCAGCTTGCCGAGCTTATCGAGAGCAACAACGTCACGGAGCTGCAGACATGCTTTAATGGCCGCCTCGAGTTTGGCACCGCCGGCCTGCGCGGTGTCATGGGAGTCGGCCCGAGCAAGATGAACCTCCTCACGGTCCTCGAGACCACCGCCGGTCTTGCCGAGTACCTGCTCAAGAGCGACGAGGCCAAGGCCAAGAGCGAGGGCGTTGCGATCGCCTTCGACGGTCGCTTTGGAAGCAAGGAGTTCGCCTACTCTTCTGCTCAGCACTTTGCACACCGCGGCATCCCGTCGCGCATCTATCCCACGCCAACGCCCACGCCGATGTGCGGCTATGCCGTCAAGAAGCTCGGTCTGGCCGGTGGCATCGTGGTCACCGCGAGTCACAACCCCAAGGAGTACAACGGATACAAGGTGTATGGCCCTGCCGGCACTCAGATCAACACACCCGTCGATGGCCTCATTGCCGATGAGATCCTCAAGATCGCTGAGGAAACCCAGCCGCCAACGCTCGCCAGCCTGGACGAGTGCAAACAGAAGGACATCATCAAGGAATTCGGCGACGAGATGCTCACCGATTACATCAAGGACGTCCAAGCGCTTGGCACTTTTGCGTCGGAGGCAGTGCACGGCAAAGATGCGCCCATCAGCATCGCATACAGCCCGTTGCACGGCGTGGGCGCGCCGTCCATCGAGCGCCTTTCGAAAGAGGTAGTCGGCCTCACAGAAGGCGTCAACTTTTGGATCTCGGAAGAGCAGAGGAAGCCCGACGGAGCGTTCCCCACACTCGAGTTCCCCAGTAAGTGCACCTTGTCCTGCATCCTCTCACTTTGTACATTCAGCCCAGACTGACCACGTTTGAGTTCGCACCTACAGACCCCGAAGAGCTTTCCACTCTCGAACTCGTCCACCGCCTCTCGGAAGAGAAGAAGACGGGCCTGGCCATCGTCAACGACCCCGATGCGGACCGACTGGCCGTCTCGGCTCGCGACGCTACGGGCAAGCTTCGTGCGCTCACCGGCGACCAGCTCGGAGCGTTGCTCGGCGACGAGATCCTCCGACGTGCCGCCAAAGCCAACGGCGGCACAGCTGGCGTTTGGACGCTGAGCACTATCGTATCTAGCCGTCTGCTCGCCCGTCTCTCTGGTCACTGGGGAGGTCGCCATGTCGAGACGCTGACCGGCTTCAAGTGGCTCGGCAACGTGGCTCGTGGCATCGAGGCACGCGAAGGCACTGGCTCCTTCGGCTTTGGCTACGAGGAGGCGCTCGGATACATGGCCGCAAGCTCGGTCTGGGACAAGGACGGGCTGTCGTCGTACCTTTTGATCGTCTCGATGGCCTTCGACCTCGCGCGCGAGGGCAAGACGCTCTGGGACCGACTCGAGGAGCTTCACCGCCTCGTCGGCCTCTCGGTCACCATGCAGAAGATCATCAAGCTCAGCCCCTCCATGAAGGGCACCGACGTCATGACCAAAGTCCGCGCCGATCTCGACGCTGGCAAGAAGAGCGTCGCCGACAAGGCCGGCAAGGAGTACACCTTCAGCCTGGTCGACGACCTCAAATCGCGCCCGGCGTACGACCAGGCCAAGGCCGACGCGGGGGACTTGAGCATCCCCAAGAACGACGTGCTGCGCTTCTACGTTCCCCCTAGCCACGTGGATGCGCAGGCTGAGCGGGAGCAGCAGGAGATCATGCTCGGCGATGTGCGCGTCATCGTCCGTCCATCGGGCACCGAGCCCAAGGTCAAGATCTACACCGAGGCGCTCGGACAGATCCGCGATGGCGAGGCGTATCCCGATGCCGTGCAGAGAGTCTCGCGCGAGCTCGAGGAGGTGGTCGACGCTTTCTGGGCTTGGATGAGCTGAGCTGGCTCAACAGCATCTGCTGTCCTCTGTCTCAATCAGAAGCTATCCGTACTTGCTTCGATCCTTCCAGTGAAACTGCCGGCGGGAAAGCCTGAGCTTGAGCGTTTTGTTTTTGTTTTGCCACAGTTGGCGGAGGCGGGAGTGCCTCTCCGCAGTTTGCGCGTGAGAACGCCTCCACATCCCCAAAAAAGCGCCGCTCCATCAGACCCTGCATGTCGGCCATTTTCGCTGTGGGACAGAGCAGCCACGCGTCGTTGTCCGTGTCCTCCCATTCACGCTCATCCTCCGCATCACCCCTTCTGGAGGGTCGCAGCTCTTTCTTCGCACAGAGACATGAATAGATGCCCCCTTCGCTGTTGCATCTTCCTTCCGACCCACTATCACCATCCTTGTAGATCGGAGCAAAGATGAATCCGCAACCGCCAGGATCTTTCGATGGTGTCAACGAACCAGTCGAACCAACCCGAACGCCAGCTGAGGCCCAGAGCGTTCCCGTACAGGAGCCTCTGTCGCCGCAAGAGAAGCAGGAGGTCGAGGAAGAGCGTCAAGAGGCAGCCAGCCTGAACGAAGCGGCGCTTTCGATTCCTGACTCGGAGGCCGATGACGATGCAGCTTCGACCTACGAACCGGCCAACGAAGCTGTGCCTGGAGATGCAGGCGTCGTTGTTGGCGGTGGCAACCCTGTAGACTGGCAGGGAGTGCTGGGCCACTCGGCCTCGGGTCTTGGAGCCGCAAACGCGGCCACCTCTGCCTACTTCAATTTTGCGCGCACCGCCACCGCATTCGGCCTCAACGTTGCCAAGCGCGTCACCCAGGGGCTCGTGGCCGTTCCCGCGCTCCTAGCGGACGGTGCCCTGACCGGCACAGCACCCGGCGACACGTCAGGAACACCTTCCATCGCCCAGGTCGCTCATTCGGGCATTGCAAGTTTCTTTGACACTATCTCACTTGTTGCCGTCGGCGGCATCGACCTCACGAGCGCAGTTACCAGCGCAGGCCTCGGTGCAGCCTCATCGGGAGTTGAAGGCGTTCGCCGCTCGCTTGGCTCCGAGGTGCTGCGCAGCTTGCTCGAGTTCTCCAAGCTCGTCAAGCGCGAGTGGAATGCTGAGGACGACTCGCTGCCGCCAGGCGGTATCCCGGCCTACTCGATCGTCGGCCTCATCAAGGCGCTCACCACCTGGGTCTCGATCCAGCTCGTTACGCGCAAGTTCCAGGAGACCCGCATCCTACAGGGCCTGGACGAGATCGATACCGACAAACTCAAGAGCGACGTCGAGGCGCTCAAGCAGACGCACCATGTCAATGTCACCGCAGCACCGCTTGTCCCCATCACGGCAGGCGCTCAAGCCGAACAGTCCGCCGACGCCGCCCAGTCAGGACAGTCGGATGTCAGGATCACGTCGAATCAGACCCTCTCCGGCGATGCTGGTAGCGTCATTGGTGCCGAGATCGGCCACAGGGACGGGTCGAGTGCGAGGCTGCCGGGCTCTACGCTGTCAGACGAGCCCGCTAGGCCACTGTCGGATGCAGAGGCGGTGCATAACTTGCAGCGCTACTCGAAGCTCGTGCTGGGCGTGTATGGTGGCATGGCGCTTTACTGGCTCAATTCGATGCCTCAGGGTGGCCAAAGTACGAGCGGCCAGATCGATGCTCGGGCCCCTAGTGCCAACGGGGTCATCTTCTCAGCCGAGGACGAGTTGATGCGCAAGGACCAGGCCGAGTTCCTCGAAGCTGCGGCCCAAATGGAGCTTTCGGACGACGAAGACGATGGGGATGCTGCAACGCCGCCGCAGGCAGCTGCCGCAGCCACCAACGGCCATGCTTCATCGTACAACCTGTGGGACGTGATTTCGGGCACGCACGATGAAGACCTTTTCCACCACACTGCGAATCTCGAGCGCGGTGCTGCGGCGCATGGCCAGTACGACGAGGATCACGCTTCGGCGTCACAACGTCCGCCGCACAATCCGAACCAAAAGGCGCGTCCGAGCAAGCCGCGCTTCTACGTGGTGACGGACCACCCGCGCAAGACGATCATCCTGGTGCTGCGAGGTACGCTGTCGGTGGGCGATGTGGCAGCCGATCTGACGTGCGAGTCGGTGGCGTTCCGCTTCGACACCAGCGTCCAAGCGAGCATCGACAAGAAGGTGGTGACGGCGACGGAAGCAGAGGCACCCGGGCGCCGCGGTATTTTCGTGGATGATGCTGTACAGGACCTGTGCCACGAGGGCATGTACATTACGGCGCAGGAGATCGGTGCGCCCG